CTATTTTTGCTATACACTACAGTTGAGATATGTCCTACATGTTATTGTTTTATTATTATTTCATTTTTCTATATTGTTATAATGGGTGAGGCAGTGGCGCAGTAGGTAGTGCTGTCGCCTCACAGCAAGAAGGTCACTGGTTCGAGCCTCGGCTCAGTTGGTGTTTCTGTGTGGAGTTTGCATGTTCTCCCTGCCGTCGCGTGGGTTTCCTCCAGGTGCTCCGGTTTCCCCCACAGTCCAAACACATGCGGTACAGGTGAATTGGGTAGGCTAAATTGTCCGTAGTGTATGAGTGTGTGTGTGTGTGTGAATGTGTGTGTGGATGTTTCGCAGAGATGGGTTGCGGCTGGAAGGGCATCTGCTGCGTAAAAAACTTGCTGGATAAGTTGGCGGTTCATTCTGCTGTGGCGACCCCGGATTAATAAAGGGACTAAGCCGACAAGAAAATGAATGAATGAATGAAAATTGTTATAATATTATGACTGTGTGGATTTAGGCAACTTGTTTTCATGATTAACAGGTAAGAGAATGTCTTTAGTTAAAGGTCTGTATTGTCTCAGTAATCTTCCATTGCTGTTGCATGTGGTCTAATAACACTTGTTGGATTTATCCTGGTCAGACGAAGTCTGAGCATTAAATTATACGCAGCTAAAATTCTTCAAGAAACTCTGCTCGACTTCATCTCCTGCTTCTGCTCCTCTCTGGTTTTCTCAGTCAGCTCCTACATTGACTGTTTATTCAGTACTGGTTAACAGGTTTGGGTATTGGGCGGCTCTGCTGGCTTTCTGTTCGGATACCCAGAGAAGCAGACACTTTCTGACAGGATCTGGCGTCCGGAGCTGGATCTATTTATCTGGCATGGAGAGTGTGATCTAACAACATTACAAACGCAGTATCAGGTGACTGACAATGAAAGTCTGAAAACTCCAGGCAGGGTGCAGCACTGTGGAGCAATGAAGAAATGAAGCAGGGAAAACTGGGCACGGCCACAGATTGGAGGATCGCTGCAGTAATTCCGGCAGCAGTGAGAGTGTCAACTGCTGGAGTAGATCTAGCTAATGAACAGCGCTCGAGTTTATTCAGTATAAATGTGTGCACGTCTCCAGCCAGCGCTGCTGAACCTCACCTTAATGTAGGCCGAGCCCTCCAGGTCACTGGGAATCTGCACGTTCAGCGGACAGTAATCATCCGGGATCTTCTTATCCAGGTCGATGTCTGTGTTCTTGATGACCTCGAAGGTGCCGTGATGAGGAAACAGAGATCCTGAACACCACACATCAACACTTCAGCTCATTATAGCAAAGACTATATACACAACACACATCACTCTTCCCAATGGGGAAAAATGTAACACTCAAGATATAATCGATGAGGAAAGTAACACTAATATCAGCAGTGTCTGATTTTGGACATATTTGTTTGATTATTGATGGTGAAAACAGGATTACTGTGGCAGCAGGGAGAGCCTTAAGAGCCGCACAGTTCCCATATTCACTTTCACATTCTCGACTCTGTGTTTGTTTGTTGCATAAAGTGCTGCATTTGGACACCACTCGAACACTTCAGTAAACATCTCATGCTGCGAGTCACATTAGGCCTACATATTTCCACTAATAATGCATTACACACACACACACACACACACACACACACACACACACACTGTACCTGCGCTGCGGTAGCTGAGGTCTCCCAGGATCTTGTCTCCCACCTTGCGCAGCTTCCACTGTGAGCGCAGACGCAGCAGCTCCGAGTTGAAGTCTCGCTGCCGCCGCTGCTCCTGGTTCTCCGACACAGACTTGGAGAGCTTCTCTGCTCCTTTCAGAAGCAGCTGAGCCGCCGTGCCCAGAGACTTCTTCTTGCTGATCAGCTGGAACACCTGCGGGGTCTGAACACACACATATACACAGCTGACATTAACAGGTGGAGTTTGGTGTAAGATCACTGATCAGTCATTCGGCAGTCCTTTGGCTCTTGTACCCCCAGACATACTTCCTCCTTCTGCAACTCTTCTCTGCATGCCAGAACTGAACAATTACCTGCATCTGTAATATATTTCACAGCTTCTACAAGCATGACAACTTCTGACATGTCTAGACTTCGCATTAAACAAAGACCCCCACACTTATTCTGCTTTTTCCACTTGTCAGCATAACAGCAAAGAGGAGGTGTGTCTGGTCAAGATGTGTTATAATACAATAGAAAATATTGATTAATCTGTTGTTAGTTTAAACATTTTTCTAATAACTAAAAACACAAACGTAATAATAATTTCCTTTTCTCCAACAGCTGTTATGGCATTAACAGTAATCTTTCGATGGTTATTGCGCAGCCCTATGCTGCTGTACCTTGGCCATGGCGGGGTCCTGTGAGACGGGGTCGAGCGTCATGTACTTCCTCTCCTTGAGCACACTCAGCACATCGTGCAGCACACACATCTCAGTCAGAGCGCTGCGCAGGTTATTACGCACAGAGTCCCACGGCCACAGCGACGGCTGGAACTTCAGCTGACCTGCAGGAGGAGGCCAGAGCGTCACACACACACACACACACACACACACACACACACACACACACACACACACACACACACACACACACACACACAAACGCACAAGAGCAATCAGTGTGTCCACATTTAGAGAGACTCAGTCTAATAAGACTAGCTACCTGCTGAAGTTTGCCTACATTTTATAATTCAACTTTGATCAACTCAAATCCTATTTAAATGTTAATTATGGGCTGCACAGTGGCGCAGTGTGCAGTGCTGTCGCCTCACAGCAGGAAGGTCACTGGTTCGAGTCCCAGCTGGGTCAGTGTGTATTTCTGTGTGGAGTTTGCATGTTCTCCTTGTGTTGGCGTGGGTTTCCTCCGGGTGCTCCGGTTTCAGTCCAAACACATGAGCTATAGGGGAATTGAGTAGGCTAAACTGTCTATAGCGTATGAGTGTGAATGAGAGTGTTTCCCAGTGATGGGTTGCAGGTGAAAGTGCATCCGCTGTGCAAAACATATGCTGGAATAGTTGGCGGTTCATTCCGTTGTGGCGACCCCTGATTAATAAAGGGACTAATCAGAAATGAAAATGAATAAATATTGATTACTAAATGCTAAATGTCTTGGTGGGCATCTTCATCATCATCATCGTACCCTCGTCCTCCTCAGGCTCCTGCTTCCACTGCTCTCGGCCCGCTCTGGCTCTCTCGGCGCCGTCCTCCTCCGAGTCGGAGCTCTGGCAGAAGTCGATGCGCTGCACCAGCTTGGCCAGATTCTGGGACATGGAGAGCGGAGGAACGTACGTCTCCATCCCATCCAGAGAAACCTCCTGAACCTGCCGCTCGCAGGACGACTCGATGCTGACGCGCACCGCTGGACCCCCCGACATCATCACCACCTCTGCTGACCGAGAGAGAGAGATCACACACGATCAGTGCCACAACAACAGTCACATATCATACCAAGAAGACGTACATAGGGAGGACTGTACTCTAGTGTTGACACAATACTGGAAATTCGGTACCAATCAGTACTGAAAGTTTAAAAACACTCATTTACCGCTAACATGCGAGCG